CTCAGGGCTGGGAGAGTGACTAGACTATGTGGAATATAAACCAAAGATGAGCAATCCTCATAGAGAGTGCTCTAAAAATGTGGATGTGAGTCCCTTGTGGGTTCTGAGAGCGAGTTGCACATATTCAGAGCAAGATTCTACAATGCCTAATACAGGGTGATTGCAGTTGATCTGAGAGCTGACCAGCATACCAGAAGACTTATAGGACTAAAAGACATCAGAGTCTGAACTTACTGTTAGGAGACCTCACTGACCAGCTTGGGCATCTAGCTGAAAAACCTGAAAAAATCATGCCTTAAAGAATCACACCCTGAAGAAAGGGCTACACCCTGGGAGTAAGAAGAATTAAAAGAGATTTACTCTAACAAAGAGTACAATCAAAGAGAATAAAAAACATTTTTTAGTACTTAACCTGCCTATAAGAGCAAACTTTAAAACTGAAGACAACATAATGCTGATTCTCTCCGGTGAATCAGCTGCAAAGTTTAGTCTACAATAAAAATTACTAGACATTCAAAGAAACATGGAAAGGTGACCCAAAATTAGAGAAATTAGGTGTCAATGAAAAGAGATGACATAGATGTTAGAAGTAGTGGGCAAGAAAAGAAAAAGAAGTAGCAGACAAGTATTTTCAAAAAGCTATACATTGTTCGGTACATAAAAAGAAGAAAATAATAAATGAAAGGATGAGCAATCAGCAAAGAAATCTATTAAAAAAAAAACAACTAACTAAAACAATTCTAATAAAAGAGGATCGGAGTTGGAAGAATCACATTTCCCGATTTCCAGGCTTACTATACATCTAGAGTAAGCAAGACATTGCAGTGCTGGCAAAATACATAATAGGTATACAGATTTATGGAAGAGAAAAAAAAAGCCAAACATGATTAATTGGTTTTCAACAAAAGCAGTGACCCAAATTCATTTAACAAATGGTATAGGATCAAGTAGATTTCCTTAACTCATACCATCCACTAAGTTAATTCAGTATAAACCGCAGACCCAAAGATAAAAGTGGAAGTTATAATTACTCCAAAAGAAAACATAGAATAACTTCATGATATTTTTAGAGAGGATACAAAAAGAACTATACTCAGTGAAAAATAATGTTAAATTAGACTTAATCAAAAATAAAGTCTCATGGGGCGCCTGGGTGACTCAGTCTGTCGAGCATCGGATTCTTCATTTTGGCTCAGGTCATGATCTCAGGGTCCTGAGAGTGAGCCCCACATCGGGCTCTGTGCTCAGCAGGGAATCTGCTTGAGAGTCTTTCTCTCCTCCCTCTGCCCCTCCTCCCCACTCTCTCTCTCTCTCTCAAATAAATAAATAAATCTTAAAAAAAACTCTGCTCAATAAAAATTACCCTTAAGAAAATAAAAGAAAAACAAGGCACATATAGGAAAAAATATCCTAAATACAAATATTTGACAAAAGACTGGTTTCTTGAATATATAAGGAAGTTTTACAGCTCACTAACAAGAAGACAAACAACCTAATTAGAAGAAGATGATTTAGAAAGACACTTAACAAAGCAACATTTTTGGAATGGCCACTAAGCACATGAAAAGGTGCTCAATATCCTTATCATCATGGGTTTGAAAAATAATACCACAAATAATAAAATACCACAATGAAGTATTATTTCATAACCTCTAGAATGGCCAAAATTAAAAAAAAAAAAAGTTAGCAAGGATGTGGAAAATCCGGAACTCTCTTGCATTGTTAGTGGGAATGTAAAATGGTGCCACTTTTTTGGAAGACTCTTTGGAAGTTTCTTACAAAATTAAACATAAACCTACCCTTCCACCTAGTAATTCCAATCATAGCTATCTACCAAGGGGAAGTGAAAGTATGTGTTAGCATACACAAATACAAGAATATTACAGCAGCTTTATTTCAAATGATCCAGAACTGGGAAGAAACTGCTGAACTGGTAGCCATCAACAAGCCATGAAAAGACAAATTGTGGTATATTCATACAAAATTTTACTCAGCAATAAAATATAAGAAACTAATAAAAGCAATCACATGTATATAGCTCAAAAACCTATGAGTGAAAAAAAGCCAAAAAATACTAATAATTCCATTTAGATGACGCTCAAAAACAGGCAGAATTAATCTATGGCTATGGAAATCAGAACAATGGTGGTTGCCTATGGATAGTGATGAATGACTAGAAAGGGACAAGAAGGAACTTGCTTGTTGATGAGGTTGTTCTATATTTTTGGAGTGTCGGTTACACAGGGGTATGCATCTGAGAACTCACTGAATTGTATGTTTAAAATCTGTACATATATGTCACTGTATGTCAAGTTTACATATATGTGTATATGTGTATATATATATATATAAAAGAATGTGCATTGAGCCTCTGCTATGTGTAAAGCACTATAGCAAGCATTGTGGGGCAGGGGAGGGGACCCAAGCAACAATGAGATGTCAACTAGAATAAAGATATGATGCTATTTGTTGAAACATGGAAGTCTTGGGGCGCCTGGGTGGCTCAGATGGTTAAGCGTCTGCCTTCGGCTTAGGTCATGATCCCAGGGGCCTGGGATCAAGCCCCACATTGGGCTCCTGGCTCAGCAGGGAGTCTGCTCCTCCCTCTCCCTCTGCCTCTCCCCCTGCTCATGCTCTCTCTGTATTTCTGTGTCTCAAATGAATAAATAAAAATCTTTAAAAAAAATCAATCAATCAATTATGGAAGTCTGAGTAGCCAAGGTGTCAGGAGCCTTAGTAAATCATTATTTTACCTTTAGTAGAGATAGGCTTTTTGTTGTTTTTATAACAACAGTTAGACATTTATTAACTAGAACAATTACTCATTTTTTAAACAGGTAACATAACACTAATAAGTTTTGTAAAAATATATACACTTCAGTACTCTCTGCATTTTATTCATTTATTTTTAAATCACATTCTTGTTTCTGTTCATGTTTAAGTGCATTGACTTTTAAAATTTATTCTCCCTTCTTAATACTTTCTCTGCCTGACTTCTTCCAGGTCTCCAGAACCTCTTTTCAACTTCCTAAAGGTAGCCTCCCTTCCTTCTTTACTCTTCACCGGAAGGAGAGAACAGATCAGTTCCATCTTAATCAGAGAGGAGGCATGAACTTGTCTCTTTAGCATTTTCAATTAGATTGCTGAATACCAAGCATCCCTGCTGTGTTCCTTCTGATGGCCTTGTTTCTTTCCCTCCCCTCTTGGCAAAACAGAAAGAGAGAAGAATTATGTAGCAGCATGAAGGCTCTGGTCTGAATGAAAACTCTGTGACTGCCTTTCTCCAAGCAATGAGTTCTCTGAGCAGACAGTTTCTAAATTGCCGTAAGCTCCCTTCCCAGTAGATACGCTAGATGCTTACTAATTAATTTGAACTGAATGGGCTCTAAGCAACTCTCATTCACAGAATTCAATTCTCAGTGCTCTGTAGATTTGAAAGGACTATACCTTCCAAGAGTGTAACATTTTATAACCTGGATAAGGCCAGTGAGCAGGTATAAAATAATTGCCAGAGGCAGCGAGTTAAGCCTTGCTATTGTAGAACATATTACAAAGAAAAGAATGGGGAACATTAGTTGATGAGAACTTGGAATATTAAACCGACTCACTTCATTTTAATAGATTTTTAGATATCTATTTTATGTAGCAACATAGTGATGAGAACATTTAACCACCGTATGTGCATCTTTTCTGAAATCTGGAGTATTCATTAATTACTTTTCTGTAGGTGATCTTCAGGTCTGGAGGAATAAAATCAGATTCTAAAAGAAGAAAAGCTGAAAAATTCATATTTCAGAAGCTGATAAAAATTTTAGAAGTGGGTGAATATTATGAAAGAATGGAATGATAGTTGATCCATAATGTTTGGATTCATTAAAGTTCTGTCATGCTTACTGGAAGAGAAATTATAGAAAGCACCCACCTGTCATTTATCTTCATCTTTATTGAAAATAATTTTTAGGCAAAGGAACGCCAGTAATGGCTTATATTACTGCAACTTATATATCTCCTGTGGTAAGTGTGGAGTACTTGTCACTTGAAAATATATCTTTCTTCAGCTTTACATACATCATCACTTACTGCACCTGGCCATGGTAGCACACTCCATAGAGGCTGTTTGGTCTCCATGTCTGCAAGTGAGTTAGAGGATACCCAGTCCTATAGACTGAATATTTGTGGCCCCCCACAATTCATGTGTAAAATCCTAAAGCCCAGTGATATTTGGAGGTTGAGACTTTGGGAAGTGATTTGGTCATGAAAGTAGAGCTCTTATGAATGGGACTAGTGCCTCCATACTTCATTCTGATGAAAAACCAGAGTTGAGAATGCCCAGATACTGCAGAAACCTTAGGTGTGGCCTGGTGTCTTAGCTGCTTTGGACTGCTATAACAGAATACCACAGACTGGGTAGTTTATAAAGAACAGAAATGTATGGCTTACAATTTTCGAAGCTGGGAATTCCATTGTCAAGGCAACAGCAGATGTGAGGTTTGGTGAGAGCTCACTTCTTAGTTCATAGATCACCAGCTGCAGTATCTGGATATTCTCAACTGTGGTTGTTCATCAGAATTAAGTATGGAGGTTTTTAAGCATACAGAAGTCGTATCCAGACTTACTGAATCACAATCTTCACAGAAGAGAGTTTACACCTATACTTTATTTTGAGTAGCACAGATGATTCTAAAGTGTAGACCAATTTTCCTACTCAGGAATGCAAGTGAGAACTAAAATCCACATAATTTTTTCTTCCTGTGTTAAATTATATTGGGACCAGGCATGATTTCCTATCCCTATGTTAAAGAATACTGGGATTAAGCAAAAATAATTTAGCTATTTAGGAAGTATTTATCTTAGAAGATAAGTCTATGAATGAACTAAAAAAGCTTACTTTTCAATACTAACAGTTTACTCAACAAAAGTGGCTTCAAGACCCTTGCCTCATTGTGCCCACAAGTTCAAAGCTATTATGTGATAAAATCTGCTGAATCCTGAGTTCTTACCTTGTAAACTGACCTTTACATTTCACAGCCAAGGCCCTAATATCCTCCTCCATTCTCCTTTCCCTGAAACATGTCTCAGACTCTGTCAAGATGGTGTTCTCCCTGGTGGCAGTATGTCTGATAAACTTAGCTTTGCTTGATCAACAAGGATTTTTTGATGAGCTGGAAGTCATAGTTAAATCAGCATCAGTCAGTTGCATAAATTATATAACAATCACTACATTTTATAAAATAAAATACAGAATTTGACTGAAAGACATAAACTACTTAGCTACAGACTGATGACTTGAATTAATTTGGCATTTGTGCAAATGTTCCCTCATTTATTCCTGTCCACCGATGATTTTATTCTTGAGGGAGCTCTAGCAACACAGCAAGCTTTGATATCCCAGAACATCCTAGTTTAAAACTCTCACGTGTCAAAAATTTCTAAGTTGCATTTTCTCCCAAAAGCCTTAACTTTTCAAGCATCATATTACTGCCAAGAATATACAACCCCTGATTATTTTCCTTTTTAGGGGTCATTCTGGAGCTGTCCCCATATGTTAATATATGTTCTAAGCTGATTAGGAAAATATTGTATATGGAAATTAGGTGATTATGATATTTACTTCAGCTTACTCTTTTTTTCCTTTGAAATAAACTATCTATTTTACACCGAAATAGCTTAATATTATTCTATCTCAATTCTAAACCTATGCCTGACTTTAGATACAAATTTCAAAAATTCCGGAGAAAGTATGTCTGATCCCATGACTGAGGTTCCAAAAGGGAAAATATTTAAGAAGATATAGAGCTTATCCAAACAAAAAAGAGGGAGGTGTGGGAAAATTCAGTCAAGAATGGTCTGAGAGGAAGAAACACTAGCGTAAATACCCAAAAGACAAATAGGGATATTTGTGACTGATAAGCTTGGATTTTTAAAAAGCACATATGGAAGATGACCAGGAGTGAATGTAATATAATCAGATGACAGAAGAGTCCAGAAAGGAAATATAGAACTCAGAATAAGCAAGCCTAAATCTGCCTCCCAAAACTAAAAAAAAAAAAAATTAAATTGAAACTTAGCCAAAACGGTCTTTCAAATTACATGTACAGTATGAAGAAGACAAGACAGTGAGCTGGAAAACTGGACAGGGCAGTTATGTCCATCTGTGGGGGTATGTGATTAAAGGTCGCAATCCTTAAAATCTTCTGACTCAACCTCAAACTCCCATAGTTGAGATAAAGAAAGATAGACTTTAAAAATGAAATTCACTATATGTGCTTTTGATCCACTTTTGAGTGGATCATGGGGCCCTGGGGCATGTCTGGTTTGAGGCAATAAAAGAAAGAATTAGAGAAAGTCACATAGCAGTTGAGCTCAGGTGGGTTACTGATTCCAGCTCTAAGGGCCTAGAGTCAAAGTGCAAGTTCAAATGCAACTATAATATATGACATAGCACAGGCTAGGACTCTGGTATACTTTTAATATAATCCATTACCACTTTTTTCTGGTTTTATGGTATTGTTGGAGTCAGTAGCGAAAGCAGTAAAGATGTACAGTGTGTTTGGACACTCAAATCTCAACATGAGATAAAAACACTTGCTAATATTTTAGTATATAGGCCTCTAGACTTTGTGTGTGTAGATACAGATACATTACAAGATTGGTATACTACAGTATTTAGTGTTTTATAACCTTTTTAACTTTATTAATGTTTTTCAAAAATGTCCATCAATCATCTCTAATGTCTTTATTACAGAGTGTGGATTGGATCATAATTGACTTAACTATCAAACTACTGTTCAGATTTCAATGTTTTTGCTCCAAAACTTTCTTGTAGTTATAATATTTTCATATATTACTATTTTCTTCAATTAAACCCCAAGAAGTACAAATTCTTGGTCCCAGGCTATGCACATTTTTAAGACTTTTTTCTCATCACTTAAGCTGTTAAAGTTTTGTTTGTAGGAATTTATTGATGAGAAAGTGTAAGAAATTATATATATTTTTTTTCAAGATTTTATTTATTTGAGAGAGAGAGAGAATGAGAGATAGAAAGCACGAGAGGGAAGAGGGTCAGAGGGAGAAGCAGACTCCCTGCTGAGCAGGAAGCCCGATGCGGGACTCGATCCTGGGACTCCAGGATCATGACCTGAGCCGAAGGCAGTCACTTAACCAACTGAGCCACCCAGGCGCCCCAGAAATTATATATTTTTAAAAAAATAAAGGTAAATGGCAATGACTTTACTACTTCACAATACAGTATTTTAATATATTAGGTTTATCAAGTTGGCAATAGATGAGGAAGTACTGTAATTAAGGTCAGACGATCTGGATCAAAATTCCTGCCATGTCATCGATCACTAGAGTCTCTCTCAAATTGATCACTACCAACCATTTACATCATCTTTAAAGTTGGATAAATAATACCTGTCATAAAAACCTCTCATGTCTGTTTCAAGGATCAATATGCAACAAAGCGTGCCGAGTACTTAGAAACATATATCAGAGGTTTTCAGTAAGGTCGGAGCCGAAGGGAAGTCACTGCCAAGCCTCACAGGGTGTCTACAACAGGATCCGTGGGAGCCCAAGTGCAGCTGACTAGGTCAGAAAGCTACATGGTGCTCTGGCCAGCCAAAGACTTCAAGACGTCTATCAGTCAGAGAAGCAGCTACTACTGAGAAGTACGGGAGCATGTAGTTGGGTTTCTTTTTTTTTTTTTTCCTCTATCTCCACATCACAAATTTTTCTCTAGTTTAAACAATATTCATTGTCTTTTCACAGTTTCTGAGGGTTAGATTTCAAACAAGGCACAGAAGGCATAATTGCTCAAGTCGTCTGCAGCCTTAGCTGCACGCTAACACTTGAGGCTAGAGGATGTAATCTTCAGAAGGCTCCTGTATGTATATGCCTGGGCAGTTGATGTTAGTTGTGAGCTGAAGGCACAGTTGGACTGTCACTTTGAATATCTGTATGTGACCTTTATGTGGGCTCTGGATTTCTTTATAACCTGGCTAGGTTCTATGGACTGGACAAGCATCAGGAGAAAGAGACAGAGAGAACCTCGAAGAACCCACCTTGCCTTTATGAACTAGCAACTCGCTGTGCAAGTCACATGGTATTAGTTCCAACACGATGGGTCAAGACAATTTCAAAGGCCCACTCTGGTTCAAGAAGAGGGAACATTATAAGAACACCACGTGGGATGGAATATATCATGGTCAGGCCATCTTTGGAAAATACAATGTGATACAGGACCAGAATACAGGAATCCCTGAACTGTTACTTCTCCCTTCCTCCATGAAGTTGTAAAAGCTACATTCTTCCCAATAGCTATCTTGTTGGAGGTACAAGGAGTGGTAATGTGGGGTGGAAGATATAAGAAATCTGAGAGATTAAAAAGGCTGAACACTATAAAAAGCTACAAAAACCTTGAAAACTATTACTGTTAACTAGGTTGTAAGCTGAGTTGCATTAATGACTAATACTTATATACATATTTACTACCCACAGTGAGGAGCTTGGAAGAAAGAATTATTCAGTTATTCATAAAATTAGAAATATTATATTTTCTCAACACCTTAATGCTAGTATAAGTGAAAATTTATTATTCTGTTTTTATTGAATTAGGTTTGTAAAAAAATTTACCCCTAGTTTAGAGACTATATTATAAAGAGCTGATGGCTTATATTTAACATAGCAAGTTGCCTGATTAGGATTGAATATTAAAATGGTTGAAGTTGGAAAAGTCTCATTTCAGATTCAAGGCATACACTTTTGAACTAGGAAAATGGTTGTACTTTAAATTTTTATAAATATGCACCTATTAAACAGGTACCTTCTAATTATTCTTATCAAAGTTCTAAACCTATGAGTGTTGGTGCCCCAGAGTAAATCCTGAATATGGTAGATTTGGGGGAAATTTATTGTCAGGTATTAGGATTGTCTTAAAGGATCTGTGCATGTCAGAATGAAGGGACTGTGGGTTCTCAATATCAATATGTCTACTAAGAAAAGGAGGCAAGCCTTAGACACAGATAAAGTAGCTTCTTTTTCCTCAGGCTGAGACATCCTGGAGATTTTTTTTTTTTCCTTTGAGCTTGAATCAGAATCCACGACTAGGCCTCTTCTACCATTCAGAACTTTGTCTTCTGTTTTTGTTCTAATCTCTTGATTTGTTCTACTTTTTTGCTCACTTAATTTTGTCTCTCATTTTCTCTACTCAGTTCCTTATTTTGGATATTATCTTTATAATTTTTGGTGACTTTTATTATTATTCCTTTTTTATACCATCTTTTTCAAATGGATGCAGTATTTTCTCTCACCTCTCAAGGTACTGATTAAAGTTAAATTGATTGGGGCGCCTGGGTGGCTCAGTTGGTTAAGCGACTGCCTTTGGCTCAGGTCATGATCCTGGAGTCCCAGGATGGAGTCCCCGCATCGGGCTTCCTGCTCAGCAGGGAGTCTGCTTCTCCCTCTGACCCTCCTCCCTCTCATGCTCTCTATCATTCTCTCTCTCTCTCTCAATAAATAAATAAAAATCTTTAAAAAAAAAGTTAAATTGATTTACATTTTCTTCAAGCACTTTTTCTGTTTACTTATTTTGTAGCTATCTTTGATGCTGGGGGCTTCCTCAACCACCTGGTTATATGGAGTTTGTTATACTGACGAGTGAGACATCAGAGTTAATCAGTAGCACTGTAACAGTGGATAAGGTTCATGGATTACAAGTCTTCCCTAGAGGCTGACAGGGGGAACAGCTAGCTTTTTTCTACCTTCCCATGTAACTATTCGTAAGTCCTGCTTCCTTTGGTTGATTTTTCAAAGACCTAGTGTTATCACAGGAAATTTTAAAGATCATTTAGGAAAAAGAGAGGAAAATTTCTCAAGATTTTGTATGCACATCTTCACCTAATCTGTGTACAATTTTGCTCTTTGCCCTCCTGTGTGCTTATCTCTTTATGTCTAGATTTATATCAGGTGTGTGTGCAGGAGGGTGTTAAGGGGGTTAGTTAATTATGTTTAGAGTGGAAGCCTGAAGGTCCCTAAATGCTCTGATATTCTGCA